GAAACGTCAGCCTTCCTGCTCCTCTGATGCTGCTCGCCCTGCTGTGTTCATCCAGCTCTACACCTTGTTATCTCAGATTCTCCAGCATCTGCAGTTCCTACTATCTCTGCCTATTTGGGATTGCTGGATTGGAGGTCAGGCTGGGTGGCTTGCAAAGATCTGTGGACTCTTCTAGTTGCCGAGGTGGGCTGGGGAGATTCCCTGCTTTGGGACTGCAGCACCGTGTCCAAAAATTAAGGTAAAAGAATTAATTCTCCCAGCCCTGACTCTTCATACCACCCTTCAACCCCACACATTCTCCATGCTGCATCCGTGGCAACCCATGCAGCCTAATGCCCTCAACCCATCCCCATTGTCATTTTTCCCCATGCCACTCTATGCACCTTTATCCATCTCAATGGCCGCTCATACCCCCCGAAACTAACTTACTGCTAACTCATGTCAATCTATTATTCAACTTTCCCCCATGCCACCTTACCTACTACCTAAGCACATGAAAAATGTAACATTCTACAATTTAAAATTTTATATTTCAAGGTGTTCTTTATTGAGAGATCCACTCCCATTCATTAAAAAAAGTTGACAACTGTTCACAGGTTTGATAGTTCTTGACATTTTTGATAGTTCTTGGCAAGCTTCATTGTTCTTTTACAGCCTTACAGTTCCAAGGGGTTTATGCACCTTTAAGCACTATCTTTCCTGCTATTAACAATTTCAAAGGATATGTGACCTAACCAAGGAGTCCTGACCAATCTGACCAAGGATACTTGATCCCACCCTTCCAGACTGCCTCAAGATCATACCCAAAGAGGTGCATTCCCTTTCAAGAAAGGAGCAGCCTGGCTATCCAAATGAATCCACAAAACTCAAACCTGCTCTAAGGAGGTCTAATGTGGACATGCTGGGTTCAGTGCTCCAGGGAGGTCAAAATGCTGCTTCAGTGAAGGCAGCTGGTGATTTAAATGGCTAGCTGCCTCCTCAAAAAGTGCTTGTACAAAACGCAATCTGAAATCACTCCCAAGATTATCGGTTATGCTGAAAATCTGGGCCCTAATTGGCCAAAATGTTAGCCTTTGGAACTGTTATCCAGACACAGTGGCAATTTTGACAATTTGTTTTTCATAGTCACACAGCATAGGAACATGCCCTTCAGCCCAACACAGTCAGCGTGGACAAAATAAGCTGAATGGCCCTCTTCTGGGCTGTTTCATTTCTATGGTTCTGTGTCAATGCTGACCAACAAACACCAAATTATCCTAATTTCATTTACCTGCACTTGGTCCAGAGCCTCCTGTGCCCTGGAATCTTAAGTGCTCAACCAGGCACTTCTTAAATGTTGCGAGAGTACCTGATTCCATTACCCTCACAGGCAGTGCATTTCATATTTCTACCACCCTCTGATGTTCCTTCCAGCTTCAAAATGATGAAAACAATGAGTCCAAAATGCAAAGCAAGGAATGTACATTTAATCTG